TACAATTCAGCATATTGATTTTCCCCTCCTCTAGAATTCTTTTTCATCACAATGAGATCTGAATTTGGATCAGGAGATCAGTACCGGTTCCCCAAACCAAAGTAAAACGAAAAGATAGGATAGATATTTTACCTCCATCGGCCAATCAGTTCGCTACGTAGTCTTGTCAGCTGCTTGGTGAATAGACTGAGTGGTTCGCTTCAACTCGATGGCGGTGAGGTTCTTGATCCAGACGTGCGGGACTGAGCTGTACCTACACAAGTATATACAGATCGTATTTGAATTCGTCTACTTGACTAGTATTCTATTCGTGGATGGTTGTGACATTCACTCAACTCACTAAATAAACCCGACTTTCTCGACCGATCTCCTCTGTGGCTCTCCACCTCCCTTCCAATTCCCATTGTCTGTGACCGTATGCGCTGGACCGTGTGCGTTGACCTCCTCAGATGAGTTCTTCCAAGACGGATTCCATCTCCGCCTTGCCCAGAGGAACGCCCAGCAACTCGGCACCACTAACAGGGTCGCGACGGCTGGTGATCATCTGGTGGTCCAGGAACTCCTTGAGCAGGAACTGAAAGTTCATGCTGCTCGAGCAGATGAACTCCTCGGCGGCCTTGCGGTAGAGCGTGCGATATTCGATGCCCACCTCCTCCGCGTCCGCATTGGGAGCGGACACCGCGGTGGTCGTCTTGTGGTCGTTGCTGCCTCGTGACGTCTTGTGTGAGGCTGTCCGCCTTTGTCCTTCGTCTTCTTCGGCTATGGCGGCCTTGTCGTTGGCGTACTGCGTGCCTTCGCCATCGAGCCCGTCTTCCACAATGCTCAGAATCTCGGCGAGTAGCAGGCGGTACAGGTTCCTGGCATTCTCGGGCAAGCTCTTCAGCACAAACCCGATGCCCTCTTTCCCACCGGCGCGCATCCTCTTCCTGCCCAGTAATTCGTGAACCTCGTCTACAACACTCCCTATCTCGGCCGTGTAAGGTGCAAAAGTGGTGCAATCGTGGAAGACGAATTTGAATTGATCGAGAAGGGACGAGTTCCACAGCGCCGGAAAGGTGGGTGTGTCGCATGTCGCGAGAAAGCAGACGTGCGGATGGGCAGCAAGACGGGCGAGGAGAGACTGTATGGACGGCCGGCGGAGGGAAGTGGAGTCGATAGAGTTGGCCATAACGAGGAGCTGCGAGGACGGTGGCTCATCCGAAATGTGGGAGAGTAGGGTGTCGAGCATTTCTTCCGGTTGGCCGGTTAGGCGAATTGCTTCGTCTTCTGTATTAGACACGGCCGATGCAATGGTGTTGAGGATTGTTCGCGGGTTCAGTTTTGGAATATAGCCATTCACCACAACGATGCGCGGAGGCGGATGGCACTTGCTGTACATATATTCAGCAAAGTGGTTGACCAGAGGCTGTTTGCTGCCGTAGCCGTAGAGACAGAGACCAAACCCTTCAGCAAGTTCGAAGCGCCACTGTGGAAAAGACCGGGTGTGCAGTTTCATCAGAAATGCCTTTTCCGGCTCGTGAGGGTCTTGCCATGATGAGATATTTTCAAGGTATTCCTCGTCCGTGAGTAATTTGACCGAGTTGAACTTGTTGCTTGAGACTTGAGGAGGGCCAGAACGGTTCTGATAAAAGTACCGTTCTTCAGGAGGAATGTCGCCTTCCGGGGTGGGCGATCTCCTCGACTTTGCTCCCTTGGGTCGCCCTCGTTTGCCGGTGCTCTTCTTTGACGGCGTGTCAACTTCATTCCCTTCAACCGCGGCCACGATATCCTGGTCGAGCCCATCTCCGTCAGGGCCCTCGTCTTCTTCATCCTCCTCATCAAGTATTTCCCGCGCCAGCCGCGCGTCTTGCCCGTCCAAGTCGTCATCTTCATCATCCTGCGCCTCAGCCAGCAGTCGGGCACTCTTCCTCTTTGCAGATCTGTCTGCCTTTGCTCGTGCAGACTTGGAGGGTGTAGTAGCTGTTGCGGCGCCTTTGCCTCGAGTCGGAGTAGAGAAGAGAGTGCGACCATTTGGCCTTGGGGTGGGACTGCCTTCATCTTCATCTTCCTCGGCCTGAAGGTCTGCGACGACGGACTTTCTTTTCCTCTTCGAAGGCGTTAACTCTTGCTTGGGCGTCCTATCTTTCAAAGGGCTCGGGGCAGAGCCGTCCTCATGGTCTCCATTGGTGAGTGCCCCTCCTCCATCTGTAGTCTTTCTTCGACGCTTGGAAGGGGTGTCTGTAACTGTGACGATGGGATCAATGTCGGGGTCGGGATGTTTTCGTTTGGCCATGGCAGAGAGCGGAAGGCATCAAGCTATAGAGGATCGGGGAGAAGACACGATAGGTCGAAGTCTAGTGTTGATTGAGGGAGGGAATCCAAAGATTGTGTCTTCGTCTCCTTTGCGCGACGCGCCTTTGACTCCCGCTCCGCAAACCGGCGACTCTGATTGGCCCGTCGTTTGCTCTACCATTTTTGACTCTCGCTTCATCTTTTTCTCTCACCCACGATGCTTTGTTAATGGAAAGGCACTGCGCGAACGCAGATGCTATATCGACATCAAATCCGGGAAAATTATCGGCCTGATAATATCTACATCGAAATACCTGCTGTGCGTGAGGTTGAGACGTCTTTACTTCCTCTCATCAGTAGCCATTGATAAGGAAGGACAGAGTTATTGACCTACCCGTTCAGCTCAACAACTGAACGATCTACTCCTTCGCCACATGAGCTGAAGCTGAAGAGTCAGGATTCTGGTCAGACACTGGCTCGGTACTGCGGAAGACAGAGACAAGAAGTCGACTGGCTCTCTCCTCCTTGCTTCAATCCAATTCTTTATCTCACGCCAAAAACATGGCCTCCGCAATCAGTCCCTCGACGACTCGTTCGGCCATCCGAACATTCGTTCGACATTACTCTGCCCCAGTGGACGCGTCTATTCCAGCCTCAAAGATAAAATATGTACCCACGTCTGGCACCTACCCCAAAGGATTCAAGGTCTCAGGAACCCACGTTGGCGTCAAGCCAGCCAACAAATCTCATCCTGATCTAGCCCTGATCGCTTCCGACAGGCCTGCCCATGGCGCCGCCGTCTTCACTACCAACAAGTTTCAAGCTGCACCTGTTCGGGTGAGCAAAGCAGTGCTCGAGAAGCGCAGCGGCGCAGGTCTGAGGAGTATCATTATCAACTCTGGCTGCGCCAATGCGGTCACAGGCCAAGGAGGCGTGGACGATGCCTGGGCCATGTCGAAGACAGCTTCGGCCCAGTTCCAACAGGAAGCCGACTCGCGAGGTGACAGCGACGCAAACAGCCTCGTCATGTCCACGGGTGTCATTGGGCAGAGGCTTCCCATCCAAAAGATCCTGGCAAAGATTCCCACCGCATACGAAAATCTCGGCAACGACCACGATTCCTGGCTGACCACGGCAAAGGCAATCTGCACAACGGACACATTCCCCAAACTCCTATCCACGGCATTCACCTTGCCGGGTGCTCAGCATCAAGGCGTCGAGTACAGACTGGCAGGAATGACCAAGGGCGCTGGCATGATCCACCCCAACATGGCCACACTGCTGGGGATAATGTGCACAGATGCACCGATCAGCGCGGGAGCACTGCAATCTCTTCTGACCACCGCCGTGAACAAATCGTTCAACTGCATTTCCATCGACGGAGACACCTCTACAAACGACACCGTCGCCCTCCTGGCCAATGGTGCCGCCTCGCCCTCTCCGTCCGAGTCATCGATCTCCTCCACCAGCAGTGAGGACTATCTCGCCATGTCCGCCATCCTGACGTCTTTCTCCCAGCAACTGTCGCAATTGGTGGTTCGTGACGGTGAAGGCGCCACCAAGTTCGTGACGATCCACGTGCGCAATGCCCTGACCGAGGCCGACGCCAAAGCCATTGCCTCGACCATTGCTCGCTCCCCGCTCGTCAAGACGGCGCTCTACGGCAAGGACGCCAACTGGGGTCGCATCCTCTGTGCGATCGGGTACACGCCTAACATCTCGCTCTCGAGCGCGACCGGATCTGTCATTCCTACGCGGACGAACGTATCGTTTGTCCCTGCCGAAAACTCCAAATCCAAGGCCGAGGGCGTGCTGAAGCTCCTGGTCAACGGCGAGCCGCAGACGGTGGACGAGGCGCGGGCCGCGAGGCTGTTGGAGGACGAGGACCTGATCATCGACGTGGACTTGGGGGTTGGGCGCGAAGACGGTTACTACTGGACGTGCGATTTCAGTCACGAATACGTTACCATCAATGGGGATTATCGCACGTAGTTACCCAGGGTGCATAGCATGTCTCGAAGGGTGGGTATGTGGATAGAGACTTGAGCCAAAAAGAAAAATATATGGAAGAACCTCATGGAACGGAAAAAAGGTGGCGAGGACCGATGCAAGCCACCTTGGAGTCGAGAAAAGAAAGCCAATGGACCACCCTTTCTACCAGACGGTCCTAGTCTGAGGGACTACATCCTCCCTTCTCATGGGGGAGAGTCGAGTTCGAGACGAGACGAGACGAGACAAGCACACCGAACAAGCACGTTGTATATAACATATATATACTATATACATACTATACACACCATACCGTACAGTTCTGTAGATAGCATCGAGTTTGACAAAGTACGTTACAGGACAAGCACACCCACCAACATGATGAGAACAGGTCGGCTAGGCTAGGCTAATCAAGGCAAGGCCACATACATACACACACACACAAGGATGATACTCGGTACTATACAAGGAATGCTAGGCAAAATGGCCAGACCAGACCAGACCAGACCAGACCAGACCAGACCAGACCAGACGTGATGAAATTTTCCCTTCGTTGGTCGCCTTCAGCCCCTATTTCCACTTGGGCTCCTTTCATTGTCTGAGCATTTCCCAACCCTGACCCTAAAAAAAAAACCTTTGGCTATGCAGAAACAGGGCGCGCACTTTTTGTTCTCCTAGCGTCTTTTAACAAGCTTGTAGTGTATGAAAAAGCTCAACTCTTCAACACCCGGTCAAAGGTTCTAAGCAATCAATCCCTTCAACCCTTGGCCGAAATCTCCCTCCTTGGCCGCAATCTCAAAGTACCCGTAGATGATTGTCACCGCCAGCAAAATCCCAGTCCCACTCCCGAGCGCTCCAAGCATGTCACTTGCCACGGACAACGCCCCAATACACGCACCACCGAACGCAGCCGCGGTGGGAATGACTCTCTTCAGCTCCTTGTACATGCTCTGCTCACGATGACCTGCCATGACCAATCCTTGGTCCTTCAGGGTCTTGGCCACGTCGCGTGGAGCGCTACCAGACACTTCGATCCATGTCTTGGAGAAGACCGCGCAGGTGACAATGATGAACGTGACATAAATAACGGTGTGAATGGGGTCGAGCAGAGCGTCGGTAAAGTTAAGTGGTGGGGACATGTAGTATGCGATGCCACCGCTAGCATACAACTGGGACGAGCCCTCTTTTGGTTCCCATGTTCCAAGAAGTTTCACCAGCAAGTTGTCGGAGAAGCGGGTGTAGAGCATCTGGCTGATCATGAAAATATTCGAAGCCAATGCGGACTGAAGCATGATGGGCATGTTGGAGGTGTAGAACAGGCGGACGGGATAGGAGCCTCGCATGCCGCGTTGACGAGATGACTTTACTGGAATCTCTACCCGGAAGCCCTGAAGGTAGATGACGGCGGCAAAGACGGTCAGGGTCGCCAAAAGATTCATGATATTTGGGAGGTGTTGGCGGTAGAAGGCTTCACGGAGCGCGCGGGTCTTGTCTGGCCAGGTGACAAGCAGGTGGAAGAGGGCAATCACCGCACCTTCGAACTCTTTCCCGCGACCTGTATCAACCGTAGTCGGGGAGAAGGCCTTCCAGATGATGGACTCGCAGATGTTTGTGGCAATGAAGAGGGAAATACCGGATCCAAGACCGTATCCTTTCTGAAGGAGTTCGTCCAGCAGAATGACCACCAAACCAGCGATCACCAGTTGGACGATCAGGAGAAGGCAGATTCCAGCACCGAGATCGCTTGGTTGGCCATAAAGACCAGTGAGGACGAAAACGCAGGCTTGGCCGAACGACAGAATGATGGCGAAGAGTTTTTGAGCCGTCTGGTACAATTCGCGGTCGGACTTGAGATCGAGGTTGACGTCGATGAGATGAGTACCAGCCAGCAGCTGCGGAGTCACGTCAGTTACATCTGCTTAAGACGACTGAAGGGCCGTTCGCGCATACCTGGAAAACCATGCCCGAGGAGATGATGGGTGTGGTACCCAGTTCCATCAATGTGCCCCTGTTACTGGCCAGCATCATACGCAGCCAGTAGATGGGATCTGAAGTGTCGGACGAGACAATGCCATACAGAGGCATTTGGCTCATGACCAAGAAAATTAGGAGTGTACACTACCCATTGCAGCCCAATCATTAGCCTGATGTTGCTCGACCGTGTCGCGATCATTCGCGTGGTTTTGGACTGGATGCGCTCTTACTCCTGTCCACATCAACTTCTGGTTGAAGGGGATTTTGGACTCCGGAGCCGCCACCTCCGGCAGGAGGGGGGTGAAGGGTTTAATGAGGTCGAGAAAGCGGACTGTAGTTGTTGTGATCAGCAATTTTGTCCATTGAAAGTGCGGAGAGGAGAAGAGGGTGAAGGAGGCACGCACGGCCACTCATGGTTGCTGTACACCATAAAACAGCTTGAGGCTGTTGGGGAGAAAGGGAAGCAAGAGGGAAGCAAAGGAGTGCAAGAAAAAGGTGCGGGAGCAGAGGAAATGGAAGAGAGATGGAGGACACTTTTCTCCTGAGAGCTTCGATGAGACCTTGCAATTTGGCTGCGATGTCAAAGGACACTTGGACAAACCTCCATGTCGCGAAAAAGGAATCTATGCCGAGAACAACTAAGTGTGCCAAGAACCTTGGATCTCAGCCTCGCTCAGCCTCGCTCAGCCTTGTACAGCCTTACGTAGACAACAGCCTTTGTCACCGATGAGCATCAGGGACTGGGAATTTACCTGTCGAGACCACCATGAATTTGGGAGTCCAACACGCTATGCATCCCATAGATGCACAATGCTTGCGTTCCGAAAGTCTAGTTGGTCGTATCCATTTACATATCTCGTCAGAAGGTCTGGCGGTTTCCGACCTCGCTGGGTCTGGACTTCATGATCTATCCGCCTTTGGAAGTCCCAGTCTGCCACTGAAACGCCCGTCGCTATGCAGATGCTCCGCTCGATACTTTTCCCATGCATGATGATGTCCGTGTTCATCATGTCCCCGGCGGCGTCAGATGCTACAATCATATACAAGAGCGTCTTGTAGACTGGCCCGCTGCATCCACTAATTACATTCCAGCTCATGCTATGTATTCCTGAGGAGACAAAGTCTACCGACTGCCTCTTTCATAGAATGCAAAAAAGTCGATATCAGCTCCACAACAATCGTGCGCGCTGATGGTGGCTCTACCATGAGCACTGAAAGCAAGACTCTAAGGCCTTGTATCTTGAAGGTGTCTGTTAGTGCCGATCTTATCTTCGTTTCATGAACATATCATCGGCGTTGGTCTTCTTTTTCCTCACCATAGGCGGACGGCCACCCGGAAATTTTGGCGCTTGACCCGATGACCCCGGTGGAGCGGCCTGTCCAGGCGGTCTCGGAGGTAAGCTTGGGTGACTTTTGAGCACGTTGACCGCGCCAGATACTGGAGATCTGTTTTCTTGTTTGGCTCTCGGCACCTTGGCTCTCGTCGATTCACTACCTGAAGACTCGTCTCGCTTTCTCTTGACCTCTTTGCTCGATGTGATCGAGTTTGAGCTTGTCATTGAGGTCTTCACCAAAGGAATCTGCGCGTCGTGTTCACCAAGTTGTTTTTCTGCTCGATGCTGACGTGCTCTGTCTCTTCTCTCACCATAGCGGATCTCTTCTCTCCGCACCCTCTCTTGTTGCGCTTTGCTGAGTCGCTTGTCCAAGGGGACCGTACAGTGATCGGTGACATGGCCTACTTCCCCGCAAGAGAGACATCGAGGCTCAGTGCATTTGGTGACGGTGTGACCAGGGTACTGGCATCTCTGGCAAATACCAATTGACCCAGCCAAGGCCTCTTCATTGTCACAATCAATCGCTCGATGCTCATAGGACCCACAAACTGTGCAGTTACGGAGGTCGTTGAGGCCGTTGCTACCGCCAGAAGGATTGTAATCGCCAGAGTCAGCTCTTGGAGTCGTAGCCACGGTCTTAGGTTCGATAGGCCGTGATCCATTCGAAACAATACGTCTTCCAGTTGTGCTATCGATTTTGGGGAGATCTCGTTTTCCTACCAAGGGTCCTGAGTCCTGTCGCTTCGGGTCTGGTCGAGTGGAGGAGGCTGTCGAAGGTTGTCTTGAAAGAGCGCTTTGTGGCCTGTGCGATGACGGAGTAGCTTGATCCACGGCACTCATCGGCCGAGAAGCGTCTTTCCGTTCTTTCACCGGTGCTGGTGCTGGTTCTTTAGAATCTGGCTTGCCACTGAATGGTCGTTCGGCGACTGTGGGAGACCTCACAGTTTCGGACAAAGAGACATTGCAGTCAAGCATCTCAATATCGTCCTTCATCATGTCTTCCGTCAATAGCTGTCGGCTGAGCAGCCTGGTCAGGTCACCATCAGTGTACAAATTCCTGGCTTTGGCATCCGTGACCAGAGCACGCCAGTACTCGCCTCTCACGAGTGCTTGCGAGTTGCCCAGAACCCAAAGGGAGGATTTGGCGCGGGTTAGACCGACGTTCATACGTCGTATGTCGTTAAGGAAACCAATTCCTTGGGTTGAAGCTCTGACACAAGAGAAAATTATGATCTCACTCTCTCGACCCTGGAATGCATCTGTCGTGTTGAAATCAATCTTGGAGTAGATAGCCTCGCCATATTGATCCCTGAAGCGGCGTTTGAGTTCGTTCAGCTGGCCCTTGTATGGGGTGATGATGCCAATCTTTCCTGTAAAGTCATATTTGCGCACATCTGTCGTCAATCTCCGGTACAGTTGCATGGCGACGTTGATCTCAGCAACGTTGACCAACGAGTGCCCCTTGCTTGCTGCTTGACTCATTCCTTGAACATCAAAGAAGCGATAAGGTGCGAAAATTTCACTGTGGTGCCACGGCTTCCGACGAAGCTCGGCCATGCCTTCGCCGTCCTTCAATAAGGAGTCGTAGAAGGACTTGCTTGGGAACAGACTGATTTCCGGATGCATACGATATTGCGTATCGAGAAGGTGTACATCTTTCTTGTGGTTGTGTTCCATACGGGCGAACAAACTCTGTTCATACTGAAATTTGGCTGCTGTGCGCGACAGAACGGTTGGTGGTAATTGTTTCGGATCGCCGACAAGGATGCACTTCGAGCATCCATATTTGAGAGGAATCAATGCCGACAGTTCAATTGACTGCGCAGCTTCATCGATAATGACTGTCTCAAATTCGACATTGAGGCCCTGGAACAACTCGTGTCCGCTTCCACTCAGAGTTGCGCACAGAACATGTGCCGAGTCCAGAATCTCCTGTTGAATTCGTTTTCGACTGAGTTCTACGTCCCGAGACGCAGTGTTCTGCTTTTCTCTCAGGTCGTCGATTTTGCTACCCAGCCCGTTTTGCTTCCGGCGAAGAGCGTCCATCAGTTGTTCGTCAGTGGTTGGCACTGACTGACCTTTGCCTCGGCGATCTTGAATCGAGTCTCGGAGATTTCTCAGTTCTTCTGAGACTTCTTTATGCTGCATCATCAGTCCATGGATGTCTTCTCCTGGGCCCCTGGGTGCGGCGGCGCTGAGCTTAGCGTTGACAAGCTCCTCAAGAGTCACGTCTTTGACATTAGTGTTAATCACTTCGCTGCGACCCAAGCGAACGACTGATATCTTCTCAAAAGTGCCGTCCAACATTGTCACTCCCGTCTTGAACCGCATCACTAACTCGTCCACAGCGGCGTTGCTTGGAGCACACACCAAGATCTTTTTGCTGGAAGATGGTGGTCGCGCCGCGGAAGCAGCTGTGTTCGATCTTCCAGCGCTGTTTTCTTGTCTCTTGACAAAGCCCGTCAACATGGCACCAACAAGTGCAGAGATGGTTTTGGTCTTGCCGGAACCGGGAGGACCCTGAATCAAAGTGAATGCATCGTTGTCAAGGGCGGACTTTACAGCTTTAGCTTGCGCAAAGTTGACATTGTAAGTCGTCTTGATCGGCTGGAGCACTTCTTCCGCATAATCAAGGATGGGTGAAGGTTGCGCTCTGATGATCTCGTCACACAGATCATAGTACTGTAGGGCCATGAGCGCACCATACTCCCTCTCCAATGGAGTCAGTGACAAGATCTGCACACCGTAGACAACGGCTTTGTCGTTCAGGAATGGGCGTAGCGGATTGTTTGCAGCATTCACCCGATAGACGACTTGGACTTCTCCTTTCTTCCTGGAAATCTCTTTAACTCTGGCCAGGCAGTGAGGCTCGCTGGGATCCTGATCCGGTTTGCTGGCTTTGGACAACAAAACGACATCCGAAACCCCGATACCGAGATCCTTCCCCTCCGAGAAAGACATCGAGGAGTTGATCTCAAAGAAGCTGTCCACGATCAGTGAGTTGGCAACTTTGACCTCAAAGGCTTTGAAATTGCCCTCCTCTCGTGCCGCACGAAAGCTCTGCCAGCCTTCCAGCACCAGCAGTGGCTCAAACGTCTTCTGATAGTCCTGTGCAGTCCGGAACGTGTTTGTGACAAGGGTGTAGTCATCCGTCGTAGAATAGGGAGGCGTATCGGTCTCTGCAAAGAAATCCCAGCCAAGGATTGTGCGATGCAGCTCACTTAGGTCAGGAGCAAGTCGGGCACGAATATCCTTCTGGGTTCGTTGTTGCTTGATCTTACGCACAGGGCCAGCTGGGAGGGGCTTCCTCTGTCTAAGCTGATCACGAACTGTAGGACCCCTCGACTGAATGCCAAACAATTCATCGTCCGAATCTGAGTCAAATTCAGACTCGCTAGACACCATGAGACTGTTTGGACCTGCCGAATGGTCTTTGCCCACAACTCCCAGCCCAGCAAGTCCTGAACCTTGTCCGCTTGTCTGAGCACCAATTCCGGTTTTGCCCTTTAGTTTGAGAGCAGCCTCCTTGTCTCGAAGTTTTCGGGCTGCTTCTTCGCGCTTCCGATTCTCAATGAAGGCCTTCGCCTCTTGCGCCTTCTTCGCCTGAATGTCGATTGTGGATGCTGGTGCAGTCTTTGGGATTGCAGGCGCCTGCTGCGAGAGCAGGGATTTGATCTTCGTCTTGTCCTTGGCTGTGACTCTTGCTTTGTGAGTATCAAGCGTTTTGCTGGCAATCTCAATGAGGTCCTCATCAGCGATGTCGTCGTCTCCGAATTCGTCAGCGCTTCGATCCCTCGACTCTGGGGTAGAGATTCTTGAAGCGGCAGCTGAATCGGTCCACTTCCCCAGATTAAGCGTCGCTTGCTTCTTGATGGCCGGTCTTCCAATTTGGCGGTCAAAGTAGTCTTCCAGAGCCCGTACTAGTCGAGCTTTTTGTGAGGCTGATAGCATCGTTCTGACGGTGCTTCCTGTCGCCACATCCTCCACGTATGCAAGACCTTCACTGTTGGTCACCACAGCCCGGAGTCGTTTGAGTTGATACAGCATATTGCAGATTAATGATACTAGTGTGTCGGCCAAATACTCGTCCCTCAGTCTGAGCCATTTGCACATGGTATCTAGAGCACTCAAGGGTGAGCCTATGTTCTTCTCGCTGGTGCTAGCCGAGTCCAAGAGCGACTTTCGAATCTCGTCAGCCTTGTCCGGCTTTCCCTTTGTCAAAACGCTCGCGAAAAGGTCGTATTGATGGAAAAGTTCTTCAGCATATTGCATGGCATCACGGCAGACCTCTTTCATGACATCCTTGTTGTGCACTTCCAGCGACCAGCGCTCCGTGTGGCCGTAGATTGTCTTCAGAGCGATCCATTGGTATGACCAATAGCTCTGTACAGCTTTGAGGTCGCGGCCCGACAGCTGCACGCGGCGTAGGAGGCCATGCGTTGGGTTGCAGAGCACGTCGAGGATTTCCATACCAGTCTTGAGCATTCTGGGTACTGAGGCAAAGGTCTTGTAGTTGGCTACTCGCCTAAACAGCCAGCATACACCATATATGGTAGTTCCGAGAAAAGCGTTGATTAAATGGGCCAGAGCTTCCTTTCGACCTGACTCTCCGCTGATATGCTTGACCATTGCTATTGCTGCTTCATATATCTCCTGGTGGGGAGAAAACAAAGCTGCTACCAGAGACATGCTTGTATCTTGTTGTCTGAATAGGGTGTCCAGATGGGGTGGCTGAAATTCGGATATGCGCTCTAGTAGCTTGCTGATCATTTGGTTTACTTTTTCAAAGATAGCGTTGTACGACTTCTTTTCTTTGGCCAGGCTGTCGCCTTCTCTCACTCGGAACTGTTCCAGGCCAGGAAGAGACATGATCGCTATTAGTGCCGCAGTAGATAAAGCGCAATCATCGTCCCGCAGATTGTCAATGACTGAGGTCCAGATCTCTGGAGTGTAGGCACTTGATTCCTGCCTCCGAGATTCATTGCGACTGAGATTCTCGAAATCGAGCTTCAGACACTTACATTCCAAGGCGATTGAATTTTTGGCGAGGTTAACAGCATCTTCTCGAGTTCGGTGCTGCAGTGATTTGGCAAGCGCCTGATCTCTGGGCCGCAGCATCCCGTCTAGACGGTGACCAACCAGATTCAGGGTATCAAGATAGACTAACCGCTCGATCAGATGTTGGCTGTCCTCGTCTTCACCGGAGAAACTCATGACTGTCTTTAACAGCACATTTACAGCCTGTTCAAAGCACGCCCTTCTTGCTGCAAGGCTGAGGGAGACATTGTCAATTCTTTCGTACAACTGATTGAGGAGTGTATGTGTAGCGGGCGGCCGGTTGGCAGGTTTGAGAGAATCGAGCAATGAACTAATCCAAGACAGGACAGTCGGAGCGGAGTCCTGGGGAGCAGCTGTAGCTTCTTGGAGGTCCTTGTTGAACAAAGGACTTGCGAAGATCTGCTCAATAATTGTCTGTGAGGAGATGGAGCCCATGGCCTGCCAAAAGGCATCCGGGGCCTTGTCCAGTATCTGTTTGAGGGTCGAAAGAATGGAAGGGACAGCAGTCGTCCGCTTGACCAAGTGGTTCAACGCTGTTGTGCACAAGTTCGGTTGAAGGTCGAAGAGTTTGTAGGTAATCAACCGTTCGTCGAGCTTCTGGACAATGAGGTCCAAAGCACTCCACAGTTTCGCAACATCGTGAGGATCTGAAGCCGTCTGCAGCTTCTTCTGAAGATAGTCTTTCACTGCCCAATCCCATTCAAGGTCCGTGGGACATCGATCGAGTCGGGTCCAGATCGAACTTGCCCATACCACTCTGATTGTATTGGAGTCAAAAAGAAATCGTGTGGCTGCTGGAAGGATATCCCGCATCTTAAGCACCTTTTTCGTCTGTATCATCCTGAAAGGCCCATCGAAATGGGTTTTCAATTTCTCTTCGTCATCTAGGAATGCCTGAGATACGAGTGCCTCAAACAGAGCGTGAAGGTGTTTGGGGTTCAGTACCGCAGTCCCTCTCTTTTGTTCCGGAACACTTCGCAGCGTCTGGTCAGCAGCGTTGAGTCCCTGAACAATCCGTTGGACATCCCTTCGATTGATCAGGGCGAAGAAATTGGCAACATCATCCTCCTCGTAGTCCTCCCTAAGAGCATCCAGAAAGCCGACTTTCGCAATGTAGTATTCGCGTATGCAAAGGTCACATTTTCCCAGGGCTTCCTCGAGGGTGTCCCAAATGAACCGTTGGTACTGCTCGCTTTCTTTCCCATCATAGGCGAGGAGTTGGAGTGACGAGATAAACCTCCTCCGTCGTCCCTTGGTCTCTTCAATCCTTGCATAGCGAATCGGGTCATCCGGGTTAGGATTTTGTTCGTCGTCGTATCTGTCGGTGTCGACGTCGCTTTGCCGGGGGCAGAAGATATGGAGTCCGGGAGGCAAATTTTTGAATTCTCTATGGACGAGATGGATTCGTAAGTGCGACTGCAGTCATGAAGAGAATGCTCCGCTGGCGAACTTACTGTAAGGCTGTTATGAACTCCGCCATGACGGCGGTGGTGGTGACCGCAGCGACAGTCGAGGGCGGGAGATGTTAACAAAACGTGGGATGCATAAGTGAGATACTGGATCTCTCATGCTGGTAGGACGGCGGTCAGGTAGACAGATCCTCATACTAGGTGAGACATTCGACCCTCAAAGAATAATGCAAATTCCATTATTCGCAGTTGGTGGAACTTGTTGCTTCGAGACAAGTCCATGTGAAAGGTGGTTCCGCAGTTTGTGAGAGCCGCGGCGGGCGCGTGTTAACTTAAAAAGTCGCGTGAACTGTCACTAACTAACTTTACCGCGCTACACTATTTAGTTAATCTTGGCGTCTAATTTAATGGCCAACATTTGGGGACAAGCATTCACTACTGTCACTAGCGTTGAGCTAGTAGACTAAGCGGTTAAAATGGCTTGGCATGTGACTTGTACCGGGTACATCACTTAATTATATGCGTCGATTTGTATATGTGGCAGCTGAGAGATGGAAATTCAGATAACCAGTGAATAGTAGCTAGAAGTGGCGAAACAGAGACTTTCAGTCAATTAAATGTTGTCATGCTTGCTGGATATCTACAAGACAGTAGTCGATCGTGATTACCAAATGGCGGCTCTATCTAAAAATCAGTCGCTTGAGAGTCTCGCCCTGGTCAGGTGCGTGGCTTGGGTGTGGCTTTTTCAAAAAGTATATGCAGCAAAAAAAAGCCTTCGCTAAATACTTCACAATCCGATAGCCTGTCTCTTGGAATGGCCCCCCCTTATAATACCATCCCCAGGTTTCCATGTGGTCCTGCAACGCCGTGATTGTCGTAGGTATAGAATAGAAGACCGGCGTAAATTCGTGATACACGCAATGTGCTGTTGCCCCTCGCCGTGAGGTCACTGCACGTTCTCCTCAGGGATTATTCGAGTATTGACCTCACTAAGACCAGGTTGGGAATACTGAGATTCCATTCTTGACAACATGGCGGCGCTGGTGAAATCGCGACTCCCTTCGAAACTCGGTCTCAGCTTGTCGAAAGACTGGCGTTGCCTCTCAAATGACGAGCGAGCACGTTCCACCGAAGGTCTTCTCCGCCGCAACTTCTCGGGGGTAGACGAGTCTCCAGGATATCCCGTGATGTCGAAGGACGGCTGTGTTCTATCCGTGCCGTCACTGCCTGTTTGGCTGTGAGGGTGACGGGTAGGTGCCTCCGAGGGCGGATAGATTGGTCGCTGCGATTCCGCCATGCTTCCATATCGTGCATGATGAGCCTGCTGCTGCCCGCTCGGCTCCACATGAACTTCTTCGGGCTGTTCCGATGATGTGCCTGAAACGTCGACGATTTTGGGAGGAACATAAGCTTCATAATCGTCCAAGTATTTGAATTTACCTTGTCGAACCTGTTCCCGAATAATGTCAATGTCGTAGGGTATGTAGTTCTTCTGGAAGTATTTCACGCAGAAGCGAGGCAGCAGACATATCACGAATGTCAGCAATGTTAACGCCCAGAACGTTAATTGCCCATAGACCTCAGCCCCAGCTTTGTAGAACTGGAAGGATGCTTCGAAAGAAGAGTAGATACCCGTCCAGGCAAAGATCAAGAGACTGCTGAGGACAGTGATCAGCACCATGAGCCAGTCCCATTTGTACGTGTTGAGAAGGATGTAGGAATTGATGACAACGATAGTCACACAGGCAACGTAGACACCCATGCGGCTTCGATCGGCAATACCTCGTCCGTTCTCAGTCTCGAAGGTCGCGGGTTGGAAAAGGAGATAGGCCATAAAGAAGCAAATGGCAGATTGATACAGGCCGTCAACCATGTATAACCTAGCTCTCGTCAGATGAAATGATCCAACAAACGGTCAATTTCCTTACCAGAACTTCACTTGCGTCCATTCTTTTCGCTCCATCCCGCGTCGGTACAACTGGGGGACTGCAAGAGACACCTTGTCGCTGACATCTTGATCCAGACAACCAAGCAGCCCGACGGGCAAGGATGTGAAGACCAAGTTTACGAGCAGGATGTAGGTATAGTCAAAGAGGTAGGTAATGTCAAAGTTGTTGTATATCTGGTACCAGAACAGTGCAACAGTCCAGACCAGATTCTAAAGACACAGTCAGTCAAGCTCAAGGATACTTTTAAATTTGTACAAACCTTGTAGAAGAAATTAGCAATACTCTCGGCAAGACGGCGGTAGGACCAACGACCGTGGACGAGAACCAAACGCTGCAGAAAGCGAAATTGACCAATGGCATAATCGGACGACATAACGGCCTGCCGCCCTTCTTCACCAGCAATGCCGACACCAACGTCAGCCTCCTGAATCATGGCAACATCATTGGCACCATCGCCGATAGATAAAGCCATGACATCCAGACCGCTTTTGACAAGCTGAACCACAGCGGCTTTTTGTGCAGGGCTAACCCGGCAACAAAGGACAGACTTGCACTGTTTGCACAACAACAGGAACCGCTGTCTCAGTTCATCTCGCAAGACCAACTTGAGCGATTCTCCATCAATGACTAAAGCATGAGTCGGAGGCGGAGGTTCGTGGATGTGCCGAGCGGCTGCAAGTTCTCCGTCTGACCCAGTCAACCCAAAGGTCTGGAGATGCTGATCGAGCAGCTTCGCAGCTTCATCAACGCTGGCCTCGGGAATATCGAACAGGATCAAATCCATCTCGTTGGAGAGCAAATTACAAGAAAATCCAATGTTGATGGCCGTCTCAACCTTGTCCCCGGTGAGGACCCAGAGCTTGATGCCGGCTTGGCCAAGAAGGGCAATCGTGTCGGGGACACCGTCTTGCAGACGATCTTCGATAGCGGTGCCTCCAAGAAGTGTAAGTTCTCTTTCAATTCTGTCGGCAACCTCCTCGAGGCGATCCTCTCGGTCGGTCAAAGCTTGGGCGGCAAAGTCGTGATCCTTGTTCCATTCTTGGTAGAATTCTTCGTCGAGATCTCGCTCGGCCACACAGAGCGTCCTGAGCCCTTCACGGGCAAACATCTCTAGGTTCTCAGCCGTGGCTTTCCGGAGTTCTTGCTGCTGACCGCGAGCAAGCCGCGAATAAATCATGCTGTCAGCACCCTTGCAGAACAGCTTGATCTTGCCATCAGGCATGCGCACAATGGCACTCATTCGCTTTCGCGTCGAGTTGAACTCCAGAGTATTCAGGATGCGGTAGGTTCGATCTTCGCCAAGTACATTAACGTGAAGGTCATCGTTGGTGCGACCTAAGACGGTGAACCCCACGTCACGCGCCGTGGCAACGAGGGCAGCTTCATCGGGTGACTGGGCCTTGAATTCGATCTTTGGTGGATCACCCGGGGTGGTTTCCGTGATGACCGTGTGACAAAGTGCCAAAGCAAGCATAAAACGCTCTGTCGCCGCTTGCTGTGCTTCGCCCGACTGCCCATTCAGGTCAGCTACAAAGGTTGGAGAGATGAAAGTGAGCTCATCGTCGTGAAGATAAGGATTGTCGTAGGTCTTGCGGAGCAACTTCAACATCTCCACGCGTGCGTCTGCAATCTCTTGACGCACTCGGGCGGCCTCAGCCTCGACATCAATCCCTTGCCTTCTTCGCATCCCTGCTTCAGCTTCGGTGTACGCCTCGCCGTATGGAACTCCGTTGATGGTGCACTTTTTGAACTCCATAACATTCTGAGTCAAGGTTCCAGTCTTGTCCGAGAAGATGTACTCAATTTGTCCCAAATCATCCGAGATGTTCCAACTCTTGGGGGTACAGGGGTAATCAAGCCTTTCGTAGTACATATGGATATCGGACCAAATGAAGAAGGCTTGAATGGATCTGACAATCTCCAAGGTGATGTACAAGGAAATTGGCACCAAGTTTTGGAACAAAATCAAGGCGGCCCAGAAAGTGATGAAGCCGTCGGTTGGGGGATTGCCGCCAATTGAGCCAAACTCGAAGAAGTTCAGCGAGTTGTCGTCTCCGGCCCAGGTGACGCCTTGCACGATACCAGCAACCAAGCACATGAAGAACAGGATGATAAAGTTGTAGATGACGTTCCAGTTCAGCTCCCTAGCTATCCGTGCACGTTTGCTGGGTGTGATGCCCGAATTTAGCATGATTTTTGTCTCACCCCCAGTGAACACAACCACCCCGAGAATCCATTCGGTATTTTTCAAGCTGCAGCCACGTAGGAGCATGTTGTTGATGGTGATAGGTTCTGCCATGTCATGGGTCGGTGCGTCAGGGTTCTTGGGGTCCTGTTGTTGCCAACGGGCCACTCCACTGTAAGAATACAAGTTCGGGCTAGGCCCTTCACTATCGATCATGAACTCGGCGAATTCACAGTCTTTGGCATGCTTGACTCTGCGTCCGGCCTGAAGGGCATGCCGAACCTTCAAATTTGTCTCGCCATCCAAGTTCTTCGTTTCAATATAGCAAGCACCGTCCGGATCAGATGTAGAGAGGACGACGATGTCGGCTGGGATTGGCTCGTCATTGTAGATACGGACAAAATCTCCAACCTTGACATTTTTCCAGTAGTCTTTCTTGAATCGGGCAGTATCAGGGACTTCCTTGTGAGGGTTGATCAAGCTGCCGTAGTCCTTCTTAGGGGGGGCAACACTCTTCCTTTTCGAGGAATTCTGGGTTCGGAGCATTGAGGGGGCGTTGTCTCCGGCAGCGCGAGCTTCGTCCGCCGTTTCGTAGGAGAATGCGCTACTCGGAGGTCCGCCGTTGGCATCTGGAGAGAGGCTTGATCGATAGCCCGGGGAAGGCACAGGAGTCATTGCAATCTCTTCGCCGGTCTGACTCTGGGAGGAATGGAAAGATTCACGCTCTTCCGAATAGATCGAGCTTCGAATAGTGTGTCTCGTGGCGATTGAATTATTTCTCTGCAAACCAGGGTGATCGGTGACTGCATCTTTTTCAGATGGTTTAGGATGACCTTTCCTCAAGCTCTTTATCCAGCGATAGGTCGAGATAACCGATCTCGTGCAGGTCTTCTTCACGCGCCTCCAGAGGGAGATATCGTCATCCGAAGAGTTGACATTGTTCCAATCTACCAGTCGATAAACGGGTGAGTTGTTGAGTTCGGTGTCCAGCACCGTCCTGCGCCAATCCTCCACTGCGTCTTTGATTGCGGTCACCGTCAGGATGAATATCAGGGGGACGGAGCCGAGACCAGGATTCGAGGCTCCGAAAATGGAGAATATCTGACATTGTTAGACATTTTAACCGTATAAAATGATTCCGACAACAGCTTACACTGAGGATAACAGTAAAGAAAAAGTATATATTAGCGATATTGTGGAATTGAAACCACAAGTTTTTGGGCACGAAGCTCAGGGGGGTATATTTTGCCGTCCTAATCTTATTCCGCGAGTACTGGGCTATGATATGGCCATCTTCTGTTTTTGCTTCGGGAGGGAGAGGTAAATTGACGTAGATCTGGCGCCCGTGCCCGTGCGACTCCTCCTGTATTTGCTGCTCGCCGAGGGGACCCTCGTCCGTGACCAGACCTGAATTCTTGGGGCCGTCCGGCTTTTCTTCGTAAGTCGATACGGTCACTTTGGGCACTCTTTGAAGCAGGGATAGTCTTTTCTTCGCTCCGCTTTGGCCAGGCTTTCGAGTTGTAGCCCAACGCATTCTCTTGACCGGTTTCGAGACGCTGGTCTCGCCGCTGGTAAAGTGTATTCTAGCCATGATGCGAATTCAAGCGGTGTTGTAGAGATCCAGCAAAGGGGGGAAACCGTCACCCCAAAGGCGCGGGGTGTGGCTCTTCTGTTATCGAGAACCAACCAAACAGAAACTTTTGCCAAAACCGCAATCCCAGGTATTTTCCGCTGTTCTGGGACGTTTGAGGAAACTCGTGGAGACGAACCGGGTCGATGGTCGACTTCCCGCGTTTTGAGGCTGAGGGGAGGGAGATTCGGAAGAGTCGGCTCACGTCAGCAGCCAGAGAAAACGCGCATCGTTGAGGAAGGAAAAGGAGAGTCGGTGGCAGCTACACTGTTGCGCACAAAAGGTCGAAGGTATAGAGGGAAGAAGATAGGTGGTTGACAAAGGGACGGCGAGAGAGGAGTCGGGCGTGAGCTTGAAGATGCGATGTACACTTGGATCTAAGAGGTATGGGGGCGGTTGGAGTATAATCCTCGGAGGGTTTTTTTGCTTGATAGACCGAAAACTGCACTCCGTACTCGGTAACGTGGTGTTCGCCCCGGGGCTCCGCTGTCGCTTTTGCGAGGACTGCGTGAGATGACTGGCTGTGCAACGCAGAAATGGCGACCAGGCACAGAATAGGCTGGTAAGAGAGATGAGGGTATTCGAGATTGGGCAGGACGCAATGCCAGATGCCAGTAATGCTAGTAATGCCAGTAATGCCAATAATGCCAACGCGCACACGTCTCTGCACGCCTTTCAAGCCCCAGGGGCCGAAGCGTGTGAAGCGTGTTGGTTTCAGGTGGTGGGTGCTCAGGTCCCTAAACTCCGGCTTGTACCGAGCACGGACGAACAAGACAGTTTGCCTAAGATTTTATGCCCAGAAGACAGCGAGCATGGGAGGGGAAAAAAGGGGGGGAAAGGGGGAGAAGAGACGTTCCTGTCTGCTTCTTTTCTTTCCACTACTGCGAGCATTTCAACTCGATAGATACTACGACTACATGACCGAGCATTCGTCCAATGATGGCATCAATTCGACATTATTGTGCACACCCGCATTGTTCACTCATCGACTTCCTTGTGCCTCTTTACCCTTTGGTCTTTGGCTGGTGCGCCCAAGCTCCCGAGCCCTGCCGTCGACGAATCAATGACTAGTCAAAGCCATTGCCCAGTGCTACGATTCTCCCTTCGGGGCCACCTCTAACCCTTGTGGGCGACTGGCCTTGCCTCTCTCCGTTGTTTGTGCCGCTCGACGCTGACCAAGCATGCTCGATATCTCCACGAGATCTGACGTTGGGCTGGGCCAGACAGACACACAGCTTACCCCTCGAACCGCTCTCTCCACGTACTCGTTATAGCCGGTCACGTTGAGGCGCAAGAGGTGGATATGATGGGTTGAAGATCGCAACAAGACCTCAAATTACTTGGGACTTTATTTGAAACACGATTGGAAGTGTCTTGTCTCCGATAGAACCACTCCGCTCCGGAGTCCGGACTGGGGGGGGTGCATCTGGTGATTTTCTTCTAGAACATTAGAGAGCAAAATTTGAGCAGAAGATTCACGGCTGTTGTCACTTTTATCCTTTAGGCAAGTCATCGATCAGGCTGAGTCAACAGATGCACAAAACTGCGGCTGCGGTAATCCGCATTTGCCCAGCCACCTTGAGAAACTGAAGAACTCACACTCATCGATGACAAAACCTTCCCCTCATCTGCGTGTGGACAATCTGCTGCCAGAAGGGACGCCTGAAATGCAACACTGCCCGGCTCCTATTACTCGCACGCATCTCCATCTCCGGAACACCGGGCCTCCTTAGTTACTCCCAAGATCATGTCTGTGCACTGTTTCAGCTGGCCTCCGACTTCGTTCCCGTCTCTCACATTTATTCAGCATAGCCTATGGTTCCTCTTCCAAAATCGTCACAAGTCTCTTGCAAGTAACGGACAGCATGTGAACAACAGTACCTGGAGAAGGACGAGCATTGACGCAGACCTTGCTGTATCGATAGGAGAGCAAGAAGAGGTTATCGTAGGCAGCGGGAACTCGTTAGAGACTAGTAGCTTTGCATGCAACCTTGAGCGTCGTCACTCTGGTGAGGACTAGACACCGGTGGTCCACGACAGTTTCGGTCACCAATGTAATGGTCCGTTGAGCTGGTCATTCTCACACGCAGACGAAGTTAGCATATCGTCACCAGAAGTCAGATCGAGAGAGCCCCTCAGCGCTCCCTTGTGCGCCAATATACGTAGTACCCCATAGCCACCAGACCCCCCTTTCGATGAATCATTAAGCAAGCTTCAGGATTCTGTATAAGCTAATCCGAGCCGACTCAAGCAGGGTGTGATGAATCTTGCAGTCGACACTGTCACATAAGATGCCAATGAGAGTAGTATCCAGGTTCGGTTGCAAGTCCTTCGAGAGATGCTACTCCCACCATGCGCAATAGGTCCGTAGGCCGGGTCGGCGCCGAAGTGAGCCGAGAGGGCATGTCCTGATCTGAAGCTATTCAGACTTATAGTTGTGTGCGTTTAGGAGGGTCCCCACGGGTATGGACAGTAACTGTGTAAGACTCGGTGCCGAGAAACGTGACGCTCAAGCCGCCAAGCGAGATATAAGGGAGCTATGGACGAGGTACCGAGTGAGAGGAATTCGACCTTGTTCAGGATGGCGAAATAACAATTTCTCAACCCAGATTTTTAAGCAGCAAAAGGCTCAAGGTGATCTGCAGGAGATGGAGTTAGGCACGGCACACGCTTAGGTTAGCTTTGCTTGTGGAGGATCAAATAGCAAGGAGTACCGAGTACGAAGAGGAGATAACGGACAAAAGAGTAGCTCACGAGTTGCTTGGTACTTGTACCAAGTACACATGTACCCAGGCAACCAGGCCCAGGGGATCTGCGCCACGGGGTTGGATTTTCAGGACACGCACCAGCAGATCCTGCTTTTCTGCACCGAGTCGCTGACGGCATGTTCAAGGAAGATTCCCTGTCGTTTTAGATTACCATTTTCGCTTTTTCTGGAGCCCACCAGCCACAGGCAACCTTCCCGGGTTTCCCGGATAAGGGGATATCTCGCTTGCCGATAACCCTTGACGCGAACACACTGCTAGGTGTTAGGGGAACGTTGGACAGAAAAACAGCCGTAACTGCAATAAGCCAGTGCTGGTCACTCCCACGAGGCCTCCATTGTTGAGACGACAGAAGAGGCCAACCCCCCCCCGGTCACCACGTCACCGATATCAATGCAGCCAAACTGGTAGGATGCGGTTAATATGTGAGAGGTCCAGAAAGCGAGGTGGAAGAAAGCGATCAGTCGCCAGATGCGCTTTTACAGAGCACTGCTGTTGCGGTAAATGGCACAAAGAGGTATAAAAGATGCCCTAGTACTCGGTCGTGTCAGTCCTCTGCATATGTCTGTGCTATCATCACAGTTTGACATGGCGTCGGACCTTTGGAAGCTCCGAGCCTGAAGTTGACTGTGCCATGGTTGTCAAAGCTCCACCGCCACGCATCAATATCAGGTACGAACCAGTCTTCTTTCGGAGACGCTCCTCGATCTCCACTGGTGCCACTGGCCTGAAGATGACGCCAATCCCTCGGTGGCGCTTTGAATCGCTAGCTGCATCCATAGCAGTACGTAACTGTGCCTTTCTTAGCTGAGGTGTATCTTTTTTTCACCAAGGCCTTCCTATCGCTGGACCGGTGGGCGTTGATATCGGAAAGCGGTGTGCTCGTCCTTGTACAAAGCAGTGTCATGACTTGGATCTTGTGCGATCGTCATTGCAGGTGGCCAGGCTCCTGAGGAGATGAAACGAAAATAATGTGTCCCGCCGCCCGGAATAAACTGGGGAGTCAAATTTAGGGTTGCTACGTATGCAAGTCTCAGACTAGACCGGATATGCAGCCAGGGGTGTATCCAGATGTACCAGATCCCCCCATGTTCATTGGGGTATTCAATTTGACCCAGGACATTGTGTGCGGCGCATCTCAACCTCACAATTGGCAGATTCCCGGCCGCGGTTGTGGACATGCAACGCAGATGGCTGAGATGAATCCGGTTCAGTGTTTAAAGGGATGAGTCTGTGCCGCAAGCATACGCCCCGCGCTGTCGGTGAGGCCTCTCATCATTATTATTGCAGCACATGCCAGTGCCCGCATGGCGTTTACTTTCAGTTGCAGCGCAATAGGCCATGGGAAGCGGGCGGATGGGGCATCCTTCACCATTATTGCGCCAAACGGCATTCAACATGTTGGCCTTGAACAAAATCCGACCAATATCGACCGTCAAGACTTCCTAGCTTGAAGATAGGACTTTTTTCCACAAATTTCTGGTTTGTCCTTCGTTAGGCGATATCCAGTTGCATAAGCTAGCGAAGTACCGGAGGGGACAGAACAAGGTAAAAATGGATCTGGCTTTCGAATTCTGGATCCAAAGAAGCTGGAAGTGGAGACAATGGCCAGAGACCTGGGGGGCGACAAGGCGGGTGGCGGTGATAGGGAGCTGGCTAGTCGAGATTCATTCCAGGTAAAGCTCGTGCCCTATTTCGGCAGCAAGACAATACCATGGCACGCATGGGCCTCTCACTCAGCTCAGGATCGTCAACAAGGGACAAAGTGGCGCTTTCACCCGGACCATTCGGACAGCGTTCTCATTGATCAGTCCGCAACGGCGTCGACAGGACAGCACCGACTGCGACTGGTGTTAAATCTCGTTCTGTTCGAGAAAGTTGTGAGGTTTCCGGATATAGGTCCCCCTGAGAGGTAGTTCCATGTTCCCTCCTTGATTGGCCCCTACAGCGTGCTCGAGAGGAGAGGTGGATTTCGATATACTCGTACTCGTAGAGCGCTAGGACGCTGTTGGGGAGGGCCACCCGGAGAATGTACGTACAGTATTCGTACCCTGTTTGTACCCAGGTATTCCTCTTCTGCATTGCAGGTCCTGTAAGACGGACTTAGTTGTGTTCTTGGTATAGGGAGAACAGTTACGGAGGATCTTAGCGGAAGTCGAATCCGACGACGGGCGGCGACAACTATTGGGATCCATA